GTCAAATTTACAGGGACCTAGAGTGGGAGCCACTACGAGACCTACTAAAAAGAAAAGCAGCCACGACCTTCGAAAAGGCCGAAAACCACCCCTTTGAGGAGCTACGAAATGCCGTAGATTACTCCCCAGAGGACTTCGGGCCCAGGAAAAAAAGGCCCAGACGCCAGATGGCCCAATAGGGCAAATAAATAGGTACAAGCAGTAAACTGCAGAGTGCTGTAAGTGTATAACTTGTAGAATAGAGTGATAGAAGTAACATTGAGTAGTGTAGTGCTTGTGTCAAATTAGTAAGATGCCCATTCTAGCAGCTAGCTAGCATGGAGAGAATGAGAGGTGAAGGCATACGGATGCCAGAGCTGAACTATTCTTACAGAAGACCACAAGTTTTAGAGGATAACTCCTGGAAACTTGCAGTCAAAAACGGGGGTTTTTTAGTTGGTAGAAATCCAACAATACCTGGTGTCACGGGACACTGGGTGTCTTCGAGAAGATTTTTATCATCCAGCCGCCGCCGGGCGAAAAAAAAAAATCCCTGTGCTCAAACAGTTAACACGTTAGTGAAAACAGTTGGCAACAACCACTTCAAAGTCGACACACAGTTCAGCGAACACGATCTAGTATTAGTGCCCCGCAGAAATTTATTAATTTCCAAAAGTAAATTCGAGCACAAGGCTCCCTAAGAGCCGCGTGCAGGTCCCCTTTTTGTTAGGGCTCCGGAAAACCCCAAGTGATCTAGGATGGACTCGCCCAAAAACCGGAAGACGGTAAGCGTCTCTGGCAAAACTTCCCTCAAATCCTCCCCGTACTTTTCAATAAATTCATACAACACAATCCGCAAGGAGCGAGACACTCTTCAAGCGCAACTCAAAAAAGCCCTAGCGACAATCACCAAACTAAACCATCACGTAAACAAACTGTCTGAGCGTCTTTCTACCTTAGAAACCACGAAACAAAACCCAACCCAAACTCTCCCTCGGGATTCACCCGAACCCCCGAAAAACAACCCCAAACCACCCCAAACTTCCGAATCCATGGAAGTCGACTCTAATTTCCCCCCTCTAAAACCGACTGCGCCATGGAATTTCCCCAAAACTTTCAAACAAGACCCTTCTAAAACACCTCCAGGCTGAAGAAGCCAAACCTAAACAGACTGAAGCTACCCCGACAGCCCAAAACCAACCCAACCAAACTACCACCCTCCCAACCTCCTCAACCCCCAAAACCCAAAACCATCGTCCCAATCACGGCCAAAAATCCGGCCGACTGGACCAAAATCCAGGCACTCCTATCCACCCACAACATCAAAATCCAAAATCCCAAAAAGAGAAACTCCGGTATCTCTTTTACACCAAACTCCACCGATGAGCATCGCTTCATCACAAAACTCCTCACGCAAAA